TGTTGTGGTGACCCCCCAACCATAAAATTATTTTCGTTGCTACTCTATAACTGTAATTTTGCTACTTTTATGAATCGTAATGTAAATATCTTTTTGTTTTTCGATGGTCTTAGGCGACCCCTGTGAAAGGGTCATTCGACCCCCAAAGGGGTCGCAACCCACAGGTTGAGAACTGCTGATCTATAGCCTCAGTCTATCTGTAATCCACCTTTTAACCCCCAGGGGAGATGAATACACGGATGGTGTCTATATGCTTTTTTTTCTGGTTTCTATTGTTTTTATAAAAGGGTAAGTTGACTAATATCAAACTAGTGATTTAATCTAGCTTGAGCAAAGCTTTAACATATTAATTTCAAGATACTAAAAAATGGTAAAAAGTGTTTTAAAAATTACTAATATTTCTTATATATCAATAATTACTTTTCATTTGTTCAATATCTTGGCTTGCTAAATTGATATGACATCATTGTTTTTCTCTCCTGATATATGACCTCTGATTTTCTAAGTGCTCAGAAATAGGTTCTCCTCACACTTTGCCTTGTCATCTTATTTTAAATAAAATTATTTAAGAATCATTTACATTAAAAAAAAAGAGCAGGTAACCCAAACTGGTTAAAACTTTTGGATCTACAGTCCCTGATTCCTTCAAACACTTCAGAAATATGATATCTAACTCAGTAGACCAGGACAACCAATGTTGGGTCCAAAGTACGGTTAATTTTTGTTTTGGTGGGGTTTCAATGCAGATCATCTAAATTTAATCAATGCAGATCATCTAAAATGGTTCATTCCATGGTCTTAAAGCAATCACTGGGCTAATAAGTAACAGGAAGTGCGGCCTGGAGCCTCTATATAAACAGAGACAGTTCAGCTCAGGGCACAGGTTGACAGTCAGTCCCAGACTCAAGGAGGCTGAGGGTCAGAGGACAAGAAGGAGGTAAGAGGTAGGTGGGAACATCTAAGAGCGCTTGGAAATTGGGATGGTTGGAGGTGGGTTTCAGAAAGATTTGGGTTTATATTCATTGTGCTTTAGCTCTGAGATCTTTGATTCCTTGTATAACTTGTGGTTAACACACACATGATGTGGTTTACATTTTAATGTCTCCAGACATTGCCAAATGTCCCTGGGGCTGGGGGGGGGGTCCCCAGTTGAGAACCACTGCTTTAAGTATTAATGACCACAAACAATAACAACATGCCAGACATAGTATCATCATCTCTTATTTTATCCTCGATTTAAGGGGTTGATTTTATCATCCCAGTTTATGAGGATTATCATTCTGGTAAGGGTAAATGATTTGTTCAAGACACCACAGCTAATTAAAGCTAAAAGGTGGAATTAAAACAACCCTGAGCTGAGCGAGCTTCCCCAAATGGTCTGGGGTATGAAAAGAATTGACCATTAAGGATTTCAGGCAAATGTGTTTGTTACCTTTGAATTTTTCTATGTGGAATGTGGATCTCCTACAGAGATTTCTAGTCATATATATATATATATATATATATATATATATATATATATATATATATATA